GTGGAGCACGAGGGACCCAAGGATCAAACGCCTGACCAATTACGGCCGTCTGACACCCAGACACGACCATCCATCTGACCAGGGCATTTACCTGGGACGTCTAGACCGACAATTGAGAAAAAGGGGGCGGGGTATAATCTGGACTGGGAGAGGAACTATGGGACGGGGTATAAATAGGGAAGAAGGCGGACGGACTAGGGTGAGAGCAGGGAGAAGTGAGAGCTGGGAGATGAGTGATAGAGTAAGCAAGTGACAGATCAAATAAAGAACACGAGTTTAATGATCCAATGTATCACCGGAGTTGTTACTTATTGAGTACCAGATTTAGATGCAGTGTGTCAGATAGTAAGCAAGTTTCCTTACAATATCCCCCCATAGAGCAGCGACATGGTCAAATTGAGCTTTGGTCTCGGCGTGTGCATCGGTCTTAGCATGTCCGTCATCCTACACGTATTTGATGTCACCGGGTGTCTTAAGACCTGGAACAACCCGTCTTGTGTAAGTTAAATAAAAAGCTTTCTGTTTTTAGGTCACTTTTGCTGAATATGATATAGATTTAGATAAGAAAGTCTTGTGTAAAACGAAGTCCGATTCGGGGTTACAAAACTATAGTTTTACTCATCAAATGATATTGACTCATGTCTACATTAAGACAACTTTTAGTTCATACTGATGCCAATTTTATAATTTGGTCTACTCCCTCGATTGGATGTAATAACTTACGTAACTTTTGTAAAATACGATTTCATTGTTTTGATTTTCAGACATCTTGTCGACAAATGTCACGGAAACTTGAGAACCCTTTGAAAGAAACAGAGGAAACCCTCATAGGATCAGAGTTGCCAATCGTTGATATTGGCAGTTTTCACAAAGGTATTTCACGCTATGCAACCATCGGGTGATATTTTATTAAAAAGTGTACCATAATTGAAGATTACAAACCACTACATGGTTATTTCAACATTTGTTCTCATCAACTCGTAAGATTTTTAATTTACCAGAAAGTTTCACTTTTTTCTGGCTATGTTATGAAAAGTAATGTATAGACTTTGAAATTTGACTTTTTTATATGGCCACAAACTTGTCTTTCTTTATGACACGAAACAAACCAATGAAAAATTATATGACATAGTTATGGGCCCATAAACTCGGTGAGGTTTTGGAAACAAAAGACTTCGATCCTTTGATTTTTAACGATAACTTAATGAACGCACATGTTATTTGTTTCAGACAATGATTTTATAGCCAAAAATCTATTTAACTCTGTGCGTGTTGCCTGCTTGATATTGACATCTCCGAGCAACTTAGACAAGTAAGTCAACACTCATCAGTGTAATAATAATAATAGTAATAGAGTTTATTTATAAAACACGATTCATCCCCAAAGGCTCGAAATGCGGGACTAAGCAAAAAAAACAAAACAAAAAAAAAACAAAAAAAAACACAAAAAACTATAATTTACCACATTTAAAACAAACGCAACACTACAAAAACTAATTACAAGCATACAATGTCAAAGTCTTTCTACCCATTTCAACCCTGAGCAACACAGCCAATATGCATTAACTGGAAAATATGGTAGACAATCATCCCAGAAGGTGTTTGCGAAATAGATGTGTCTTTAAATCGGTTTTAAAGGAATCCAGTGCCTGGTTGTTTCTGAGATCGACAGGAAGGGCGTTCTAAATTGTTGGACCAGCGAAAGTGCGCTTTCCGTAAGTATCAAGGCAAACACGTGGTGTCGAGAGTTTGCCACTATCGGATGAGCGGAGCTCTCTAGTGGGTACATAAGGCGTCAGCAGCTCTTTCAGATAGGACGGCGCCAGGTCATGTAAGCAGCGGTAGCACAAAGTTGCGATTTTGTACTCTATGCGAGCACGCACCGGCAGCCAGTGCAACTCTCTCAGAAGTGTTTTTGCATTGTCGAACTTGCGTTTGCGAAGAGCCGCATTATTCTGTGCTATTTGAATTTTATCCAGGAGCGTAGCTGGAAGACCCACCATGAGAGCATTGCAGTAGTCCATGCGTGATAGCACAAATGCAGACATCAGCTTCTTTGTTGCATCAATTGTTAAGAAGGGCCTGATGTGACTAATTCTGCGCAGCTCCAGAAAAAAATCGCCTTGCGTAGCATGTTAACGTGACTTTCCGCACTGTTTGAGCTAACTCAATACGCACACCTGAGAGCGTAATTGATGTCGTGCTATTGGCAGATTTTTGCTTCTGAAAGGTCACGATTGGGATCAGCTCAGTCTTATCATCATTCAATTTGAGCTTGTTTATGGTCATCCAGTGCTTAACTGACTCCACTGTCTTCTGTGTCATACTAAGAAGCTGAGGGAACTGAGAGGGGATCACGGATTGATGAAGCTGGGGTCGTCCGCAAACATGTGGTATTGCATGTCAAACTGCTTGATCTCTGCACCCAGGGGCTGTATGTACATCGTGAAAAGCACTGGGCCTAGGACCGAGCCCTGGGGTACTCCGAATTCAATATTAGATTTCTTCTAGGTCAAACCGTTTGAAATAACTGACTGGACCCTATTTGTCAGATACGATCGGAACCATCCATGTACCGTATCAGTGTGATGGACGGTATCAGTGTGATGGACGGTATCAGTGTGATGGACGGTATCAGTGTGATGGACGGTATCAGTGAGATGGACGGTATCAGTGTGATGGACGGTATCAGTGTGACCGAACTTTTTTTGCAGACGTTGCAGTGTGAACATAACCTTCAACAAAAAACAATATGTACCTAACATATAACCCTAGACTCCCTATTCTACACATACCAGTATGCAAACACTATGTACTGCACACACAGAACTAGACTTACCAGTCTATCAATAAATTTTTCTACATTTCACAATTCATGTCCGTGGTACTTAGCTCTTTACACAGGAAAACAGATACAGCGCTTCTCCCACTTACACCGTCTGTTAGTTATAATATCTTTATCTTCGTTATTTTGAGTGCCCACGATCAATGAATTGATTATTCTGGCTCCTGTTTTGGGGCAATTTTCAAGTACTAAGACTGAGATGATAATTTTAAAGACGATAACAAAAGATGACAATAAATACATTAACGAAAGTAAAAGTTATAAATTCAATTATACCCTTGTAAATCTTTTTTTTTAAAAATCATACTGAGCGCAATACAACTATTACACAGACACAACGAGAGACAGGCGAACAGATTTAACGAAGACTTTGAATAAGAACATTTTAGATCAATTTGTTTTGTGATATTTTTATACGCTTTGGAAAGATATGTTATATCTGGTGAAATAACCTCGGTTCATATATTAAAAAAACAAAAACATAAAAAATCTGAATTATCATTTTCTCATATATTTTACTTACGGTGGGGCACATCCTGTGAAAGTGTCATTTTCTCATGTTTTTTCTGACAAAAATAATGCTTATGTAAAGAAATAGAATTTTCTTAAATTGTGTACTCAATAGCGATTGAAAACAACATTTGGTGTACTGAAAGAATTAAGATTCATGTCAACTAAAAGTTTGCACTTGAGTTTTACTTACAGAATGTCATTTCATATGAATAATTATCATTATCTAATATTTCTAACTGAAAGAGCAGCGACTCATATTGAGATGTAGCATTTTCCTACATTGTTATTAGCAAAGTGTCAAGTAACTTTAAGAAGTATCAAATAGTCCTATCTTTACTGACAGAAGGACGATTCATGTTAAGAACACCTGGACCAAGAGATGCAATGTTGTCGTGTTCATCAGCTCTGATAGAAATGACAGCTTTCCTACAGTAGGAGTGAATGCCAGTGAAGGGAGGGAACATCTCACTGCGAAAACAATGCAGGTGACCAAATGTCATAGACGTATTTTTTTTACTTTAAATTAGCTTAAATATTTTTAACAAATGAAAGTTAAGTGGGAAAATATTTTTGGAAGGCTGTTAATACTTCATGAGTTGTTGTTTCTTTTCTTTCCGTCACCATTGAAACACCACAACACTGACCTCCAGTAGGCCTATTATTTTGGGGACGTTCGTTCAACTACAATTCCCCGCGTTATATCTCTGTTAAAAACGGACGAAAGAGAAAAGATAATTTCCATGAAAAAATACATCATAAATTAAAAGGCTTAGTTTATTTTTTTGTTTTTTTAATTTAAAGTTTTTAAAAGTTATATTTAGATTGTTATCTTTTAGGGTGTTAAGTATAATACTAAAAACAAAAGGAATTTTTAAAAAAATTATTTAAAAAAACAAAATTCAAACATTGTCTCTTTTTGAGATAGTTTAGTGGGACTTAACCCATACTTTATAAGGTACATATTTTGTAAGGACTTAAGTCATTTTTTGTAAGGGCTTAAGCCAGTTGTTATGGATCATTTAACTTTCTTTCAAAATTCCGCAGCACATTTTTTGTGGCTCTTGAAATGTTCTTATCGTCAATGGCCATCTTCATGCCTCTGTTGGTTTTTTAAAGATTTATTTTGCACCCGGTTTTGCTTAGCATCGATTCTGGATCCTTTGTTTTGTGCGAGTACTACTGCGGGTCATTCAATGGGCGATCAGGCAACCGATAAGAAAGCGGCTTAAAATCAGCGAAGGTTCTAGGATTTGATCATTGGTGTCACGCTATCAAAGGTGTTAATTTTACATTGCTTTTGTAGATATACAATGTTTTTTTAAAAAGCGAATATTCTCTAAGCTAATAATGTCTAAGCCAGATTTAAATCTCCCTCCTCCGAAACGTCATACTCTCCAACAGGGCTTCAAATATCTTTACGACCGCCATCTTGATGACGCAGACTGGTTCCTCAAAGCGGACGACGACACCTACGTCATCATGGAAAACCTCCGCTACTTCCTGTCAGGAGAAAGCACCGAAAAACCGGTGTTCTTTGGACAACGTTTGAGATACGTTGTCAAGCGGGGTTACGCCAATGGAGGGGCGGGCTACGTGATCAGCAAAGAGGCCCTAAGGAGGTATGGGCTGAGGGGTTCTCAGAATGTCTCCCTGTGTAAAAGCGTCAAGGAAGCCGAGGACGTGGACTTTGGATTGTGTCTACAAAACCTGGGGGTCATCTTAAAGTCAGGTCTCGACTCACAGAACAGAACCCGTTTTCTAGGTGTGACGCCAGAGTTGTCTCTTAGACCTGAGTTCTCTCGATCATTTTTAGAATATCAATTTGAGTACAGAAATGAGGTAAGTTTTTTCACAACATGTTTTGAACAGGAATTCGTATTAGAAGGAATTTCAGCTACAAGCTTCAGACTCTTATTTGTGTATTAATGTCAAACTCATATTATTTTTGTCTTCTTTAAATCATATCTTCTTGACAATTTCAACGGAAACGTTTTACAATTTCTTTATATTACTAAATATTATATCTAATGTTACTCATGCTATACCAATCCTTAGCAATGAAGTTTATTCTTCAAAAATTAAATTATATTTTATATTCTTTCATTTAATAGGCTCTTAATCAGTTTTGTCTTAAAATAACAGCCATCTCATTTATTTTTTTTTTACTTTTTGTTTGGTGGAAATACATATTAAATATTTTTCTCCTCAGTTCCCTCAGGGTATTGAGAATATCAGCAACTACGCCATTTCCTTCCACAAGATTTCTCCAACTAAAATGTACGACCTGGAGTTTTTCCTCTATCATTTACGTCCATATGGTGTACTCAACATGCCACAGAAACTTAATGTCGTAACGTGACCCCCAGCTTAATTTAAGCATCCTGTCGTTTTGGGGTATTTTGATGTAACGGGAATTGTAAATTGTTCTTGTTTTATTGTCTATCCTCTATACCAGGGGTCTCCAAATTACGGCCCGCTAAGCCGTTACATGCGGCCAGCAGGGACCTTTTAGTCAACAGAAAAATATACCAAAATTTACGAGTATTCTGCCAAGATCAGACGCCGCTCACGTGGACATTATGTTTTTACCGAAAAGAAAATAGAGGCATGCAGTAGCGCATTTTGTTTTCCAACCGATTACTGCATTGCAAAATCTTATTCGCTGCTTTCTTTTTTGAAAAATTCCGTTCACAGTCAATGAGATGATAGAACGCCACTTGGTGGCGGAGTTTTTCAATGGTTTGTTGCTTGTTCAAGACTTGATTCTTTGGTTCAGGAACCGCCAGTTGCGGTTGACTGCTGCGATGAGGGGATGTCGGTGTCGTCTAGCGTCTGATTGCGAAACATGGTTGCACTCTATTTTATTTAGGGATAATTTCCTTTCCGCAATTATTACTTACCACTGTGTTTAAAGTATTGGGAATGTCGATAGCTCAGTAAGTATTGTTCGAATATTCTAAAGAGGAAAAATTAAAAGCAGCAATCTCTCTATCGTAAGTGGATATATTTGCATACTATATTTGCACACTATATTTGCACACTATATTTGCACACTATATTTGCACACTATATTTGCACACTATATTTTCACACTATATTTGCACACTATATTTGCACACTATATTTGCACACTATATTTGCACACTATATTTGCACACTATATTTGCACACTATATTTTCACACTATATTTGCACACTATATTTGCACACTATATTTGCACACTATATTTGCACACTATATTTGCACACTATATTTGCACACTATATTTTCACACTATATTTGCACACTATATTTGCACACTATATTTGCACACTATATTTGCACACTATATTTGCACACTATATTTGCAAACTATATGTGCACACTATATTTGCACACTATATTTGCACACTATATTTGCACACTATATTTGCACACTATATTTGCAAACTATATGTGCACACTATATTTGCACACTATATTTGCACACTATATTTGCACACTATATTTGCACACTATATTTGCACACTATATTCAGGAAAATTTTAACTAAGAAATCATACGAATTTTTTTTTAAATTCGGTTTATTTGCAGCTATTATTGCGACGGAATTAGTTCTCAAAATCAGTTTCTTCAGTGATCTTGTGTGCAAGATACTTTCAGTTGCACTATTTATACGTGTTGCATTCACTTTACTTTAATGCACAGCAATGGCCGAGAAAATGAAAAGAAAAAATGGACGATGAGTCTCAGCAATTTCAAGAGGAATGGAATTTGAAATACTTCTTCATAAAATTCGGAGGAAAGCATTGTGTGTGATTTGCAACGAAACCGTGGCTATGATAAAAGAATACAACCTGCGCCATCATCATCAAAGCAAACATCAGGAGAAATTTGCACACTTGGAGGGTAAAGACCGTACCGAAGATTTTTGAAATTACAAAACCAACTCACATCTCAGAGGACATTGTTCAGTAAATCCTCAAATAAAATGTAGTCCTTAACTAAGGCTACCTATAAAGTCGCCTACGTCATGGCTAAAAGTGGCAAACCGTTTACAGGCGGTAAATAAGGAAAGGAATGTTTTTTGGTGGTGGCTGGGTAACTGTTGCCCACTGTGTTGCAGACATCGTTGAAAACATTGTGACTCAAATAATAAAAACAAAAGCAAGTTTCGCCATTTTTCAACAGCAATGGATGAATCGCTGGACAGCTGTTCCACCTCTCAACTGAGTGTGTTCATTACAGGTGTGGATGAAGACATGAACATAACAAAAGAGCTGGCTTCACAATATATCATGTACGGTACTGTTACCGGAGAGGATATATTCAATGAGTTGAAAACATTTCTGATTATAACTTGGACTGGACTAACCACAGTTGCCTGACTGTTGATGGAGGAAAGAACATAAGTGGCATAAAGAAAGGATTGTATGAACAAATAAAGCAGATGTGTAATGAGAAAAAACATTCTACAACAAATGTTCTTGCACTGTATTATTCAACAGCAAAATTTGTATTCTAAATATGTGGACATTAGCTGTGTACTGCTTAAGATTGTGAATTTAATAAGGCCACGTGGTCTCAACCATAGACAGTTCAAAGACCTGTTGAAAGATACAGAGACAGAATCGCAAGATTTACAATAGTCCACAGCAGCAGTAAGATAACTAAGTTGTGAACAAGTGTTGAGCGGAGTATGTAAATTAAGAATGGAAATAAGTGACTTCCTGGAAAGTAAAGGCAAGCCACAGCCATGAAGAGTGGGTATGGAAATGTGTCTTTGCTGCAGACATAGCTAGTCATTTAAATTTTCTGAACCTAATTTTCGGCACTCAGAAGAGAAAAATCTAGTTTCTGATCTACCCAACTAACAGCCTTCATATTCAAAATCGTCTTGTTTTTGGAACAAGTACAGACCAACAACTTGGCGCACTTTCAGCAGTACAAGGTCTTCATGGCTGAAGCAACAGTGGAGTTCCCCACGTTAATTGCATGTGAGATCATCAAAGACCTCCTGCTGCAGTTTCAGCAGCATTTTTTCTGATTTGCATTCAAAGGCAGAAGAAGTGAGACTGTTTCAAAACCCATTTAAAGCAGATATGGCCTGTTGCCCAGGACCAGATGAGCTGCAGCTGGGGGGAATGAAGCAAATGATCTCCACAGGGACCAGTTCAAAGAAGGACTTGTGGGTTTTACCAGTGTTTTCCCAAGGAATACTTTCCTAATCTCAAAACTTTTGCATCAAGGTACCTTTCAACCTTTGGAACCATATACCCGTGTTAACAAACATTTTCAAGAATGAAATACATGAAGAACAATTTGAGAACAAACTTGTCCTAAGATAATCTTAGGTCACTTTTCATGTGTGGGACATCAAATCTAAAGCCAAAAATGTCTGCTATTTTGGCATACAGGAAAAAATTTCACCATTCCCACTAAAACATGTGTTATTGTGAAGTGTATCAATGCATTACTAAATAATAAATGAATAATATAATGTAAAATAAATAATTAAAAACAACATCCATGTTTTGATTTTTTTTATTTGGACCTCGAGTGTGTAGTTGTCCCTTTGGACCTCGAGTGTGTAGTTGGGCCTCGAACTGCTGTTTCATAGTTAATGCGGCCCTCGGGGTGAAAAGTTTGGAGACCCCTGCTCTATACCAACTAGAAGTGCAATGATTTTATACAAATTATACTATGATCGAGTTACCTTAATGCTGCGTTAAATAACATGAGAGGTGTTTGGTGGAACTTGTAACTGATCCCCCACCTTATATTTCTCTTCCTTTTTGTTTCATCTTTATCAAATAACATACAACATTAATTACAAGATTATATTACATTACTCAGATACTTTTTATATCGGTACATTTTAAATCACACTTGATGTTTTTTCTTTGCATCTCTTATGACGTATTCCATTATCGCTGGTTCCACTGACATTTCATTCCCTCCCCTTGCCATTGTTTCTTGCCCCACCCTTGCTGCCTGCGATTGCGTTACAACCATCTCACTTGTGGGCTATCTTCAAAAATATGTTAGTCTTAACTCGTCCCACGGTGGATCCATTGGCCCACAGTTGATACCTTCAAGTCCCTGCCATCAGAAACTTTGACAGCATTTTCAAGGATGAAGGAGAGGTTCTCAAGATCCTTTCAAAGGTATCCCTCTTAACTCAGTGTTTCAGTTTTTTCTATGTTCCCAAAATAAGATTTCTCTAAGAGTCACCCCACCTACTAAATAAAACGTGAATTTTAAAACAAGGGGTTAGGGATGTTCATCAAATTGGTTTATTGGACAACAAAGAGAACTGTGGAGAGCTTAAAAAATAAACAATTTATGTCAGCTATAATGTTCATGAACAAACTTAAAACCATATTTACTAGTATTATAGCTGAAAAATCAATCGCTCGTTATTTCTTATACACGGTTTTCATAAAAATCCCAGAAATTGAACTTTTAACTTCTTTCGAATTACCGGCATACGCGTTGGAGACAAAAAAAAGGGTTTCAGTTCTTTCATTAAACCTCTCTTTTTGTAAAGAGGGGGGGGCTATGTTAAGAGGTTGTACCATGAAAGTTATGTGAGATAAATCTTTTGAAATAAACTGTTTCATTATTATAGTTAATTATATTTAAAAGTGAAACCAATATGTTTGAATTATTTGATTTTATTGAATTAACTTATCGGGACTGCAGAATTACTTTTCATTTTCTACTGTGGCTCTGGCATTCTAGAGTAACCTAAATGCATTGTGGATTCAAAAATATCAATAGGTAAAAAGTTATA